GGAGTCACAGATTGAAACAGGCTCCAGGCTCTGAGCCGGCAGTCAGCACAGAGCCCGACGCGGGGCTCGAACCCACGAACCGCGAGATCATGACCTAAGCGAAAGTCGGACACTTAACCGACTAAGCCACCCAGGCGCCCCAATATAAATTTAATTTTTAAAAATTTCCTATGAACATAAGGTTCTTTGTATTAATTTTTCTGAATAATTATTGTAATTCATAGCTGGTCAAAACAGATACATTAAGAATTTTAATTTAAGAATTTAATGAAATATTTTAGTGAAACACATTTCTTGCTGAGGTAAGAGCTTGATTATTTGGGGGTTTTTGCAGCTCGTTCATGTAGGCTGTGCCATTTATTATTATAGTATATCTGATTTAATTTTTAACGTAAATATGTGAATTCATATTTTGTAGAAAAATAATTTGCAGAATGTGCTTTAGAAGGTTGGTGATGGATAGTAACTAAGATTTAAAATTAAGAACAAGGCTAAAATTACCAAGGTGGAAATTCAAGAGAAGATTGTGGTCCAGTAGCTTTATTAGAGAAAGAAACGGAGTTTTCTTTAACAAACCTGATAAATTGTCTTAGAAGAAGAGAAGTTTGAAATGCTATCTAAATGATTAAAAATAGGTCCTATTTCCAGTGAGGTGAAAAAGAGAAAAAATGAGTATATGGGGAGAAAGGTATAGGGGAGTGATGTAGAGAAGATTTTGAGAAAATGAGGTGAACAACAGAGGTAGTTTAATAGGTGTTTCAAAAGTGAGTGGTGTAGATTGATTGGGATGAAGCACTTTGAGATAATTGAGGAAAAGTTTTATCTATATAGTAGAGCACTGCTATATGGTTTAACAAGATTACTACAAAATGGTAGGGAAACCTGCTGGTGAGTTGGAGGGGACCTAATAAGGAGATTATTGGAATAATTCAAGTGAAGATGATCAGGGCTTAGACTGAAGTATGTGTAATAATGATAGAGAAGAAGTTTACAGAGATTATTTGGGGGTATTCAGCTGATTCCTTATTTAAAATGAAGAATGATGAAAGGGCAGTTAGCTTAACATTAGAGGAAAGAAGATCTTGTCTACAGTAGGGAAGATTGATAAAACAGAGTTAGGGAGTTAAGCAATGCTCCTTTTGCTAGGAGCTCAAACTGCAAAAAAAAAAAAAAAAAAAAAAGAAAAAAGGATGAACCTTACAAAAGGGTTTATCACTTTAAAAATAGGGTACTTATGGGGCGCCTGGGTGGGACAGTTGGTTAAACATCTGACTTCCACTCAGGTCACCGTCTCGCAGTTGGTGAGTTCGAGCCCTGTGTAGGACTCTGTGCTGACAGCTCAGAGCCTGGAGCCTGCTTCAGAGTGTGTATCTCCCTCGCTTTGACCCTCCTCCACTCACACTCTTGTCTTTCTCTCTCAAAAATAAACATTTAAAAATGTTAAAAATTGACTCCACATAGTTTATTGTCTCGTCTAGTTGCACCTCAGTTATCTTTCCATCCTCCTCCCACATACACACTTGCAGGGAGTTGATTTTTCCAACAGGAACTCATTCTTCAGTGAACTTGATCAGGAGTCTGCAGTCACCACTCCCTCCTAAAAACTCTTCTTTGTTTGACCTCCTTTATTTTTCAGCTTTCTGATTTTCCTACTGGTAATATTTACTAACAGCTAATATTTGCATAATGTACTATATATTGCTATTTGGATGTTCATTTGTTTTAATTTATTAATTTTTGCAAAACTCTATGTGGTAGGTAATGTTAGTACTGTCATTTTACATATGTGGAAATTGAATTGTAGAAAGGCTAAACAACTTGCCCCAAATCATATAGCTAGAAAGTGTCGGAGCAATCCTTCAAACCCAGATAGTTCATGCTTTTAAGCACCATTGTATATTGCTTCCTTGGCCACTCTTTGCTTTTAAATATATTATTTTTAAATAATCTCTGTACCCAACATGGGTCTTGAACTCAAACCCCAAGATCAAGAGTCACACACTCTTATTGACTGAGCCAGCCAGCCACCCCTTGGCCACTCTTTCTTAATCTCCTTTGTAGATTTCTCTTACTCAGCATAACCCTCAAATGTTGGCATTCCTCAGAGATCTTTCATTGATCTCCTTTTTCTCCCAGTCTTTTTTAGTGAATCTGCGTACTCTTGTGACTTCATTTACCATTTTTTGCTGATGATCCACAATTCAATATTTCTAGATGAGATCATGCTTTCGAATTTCAGACATATAAGTATAACTCTGTTGGATAGCTTCCACCTGGATTTTTCAGTCATCTCAATGTCAACATGTATAAAATCTGTGTTTATTCTCTTTTCTCCCTCCAGAGTGTTCTATATCTCAGTAAATGGCATCATTACTAGACACACTTTACCTCTCTGACATCAATCAGGTGATAAATATTAGGACTTAGGTTAAAGCACTGATGGAAATCACCAGTGGGACTAATCACTTAATGATTGTGGGAGCCTTAGCATAATAACTGGTAATCTGAGTAACACTCTCATGCTCTCCCTCCTCACAATGGCAGGTGGCTAGGATATACAGACAGGTTGAGGACTGTATAATATATAGGGAAAGCTTATAAAAAATGACTTATCTTGAGGGTGGTTGACTACTACATGAACACAGAATTAGAGAAAATGTCATCAGAAGACAAGGAGAGAGAGAAATTATGTTATCAATTCTAAGGTGCATTTTTTTCCCACAGATTTTAGCATCTTGGAAAGTGGAATGGTGGCACTTTCAATATTGATGTTTTTTTCCCCTTAATGATAAATAATGGCACATCTTAGAGTTGGTGGCATGTTAGTTTCAATAAAATACAGTAGTTTTAGTTGGATAAGTTGACATTTCCCTATATTCTAGTTGCAAGACTGGAAGAAAGAACATATATATTGTCATCCTTCTCAAATTGTTTACAAACAGCAGAAGTGTGATATTTGTGTATGATGTACAAAGAGAAATATAGGATTCCAGAATCTACTTAAATACCTAACATTAGTGTTAATAATACATGAGTGAAAGTAAGAAGTAATTAGTGGTTTCCTAAGACTGGTAGATCAAGAGTAGTGTAGAACTGTTATCCACCAATAAGATAAAATCTCTTTGGGTGTGATAACTTAATATTACTACTAATTAAGCTCTGCCTTTTTTTTCCTTCCAAAAGTAATGGGATGAATGAATACTATTACCTCTGTTTTGATTGAGAATTCAGTTGAATGTTGCATTTTGTTTGTTTCTTTTGTTGTTTTTTTTTTTTTTTACAGGTAGCAGATATCAAGAGGGTTAATAATCTCATCAGCGATCAAGACTTTTTTGCCCTTAGGTCTATCAAAATTCCAGTTAAAAAGTTTAGTTCATTGACTGAAACACTTTATCCTCCAAAAGGAAGACAGGCTTCACGTCCATCATCTGTTCAGTTTGTTCCAGAACAACAGGACATTTTGCCATCTAATGATTCTCTTTCTTCCAGTGAATCAGCTGGCAGCTTTTTAAAAGAAGTAGACCGAGACATAGAACAAATAGTAAAATGTACAGACACCAAAAGAGAAAACCTTAATGAGGTGGTATCTGCTTTAACAGCACAACAAATACGTTTTGAACCTGATAACAAAAACATTCAACGTAAGGATCCTTATTATGGAGCAGACTGGGGAATAGGGTGGTGGACAGCTGTAGTGATAATGTTGATAGTAGGGATAATAACGCCAGTGTTTTATTTGCTGTATTATGAAATTTTAGCTAAAGTGGATGTTAGTCATCATTCAACAGTGGATTCTTCCTCACATTTGCATTCAGGAGTCACACCCCCATCACAGCAGAGAGAAGTAGAAGATGGAATTGGTCCGACTAAAGGAATACCCTTTGGCCAACATGATCATAAACTCTATAGTCAAGATTCTCAATCACCTGCTGCTCAACACAAAACACAGCAGTGAGCTCATACTTACAGTGTTAATGATCATGTGTATCTGGGGTGTGGTGAATCATTTATATTCAGTAACCACTTTAAAGGCAGAAAAGTTAAGGAGATTGAAGATGCTTTTGTTTTTCATCCTTTTTTTGGAGCCATTTACAAATAGATTATCAAAGTTTTACAGTTGCTAGTTGTTGATATTGAGAGTTGTAAATCCATATATCTTGTATCAGTGCTAAAGCAGAAATGAATTTAAATATGGGTCTAGAAAGTTCTTAACTTGGAAAATGTATCATTTTTTATATTCAAGACTGGTTATGTTTTATTTTTCAAGCAATTATTTTTTGGCTTAAGGTTATTAATGTTAAATATATTAGGCAAAATAATTTTTATAAGCCCCCAAAATAATGTGTTATGGTTGGGAAGTTGCCGTTTGGTCCCTGGAACACTGGATTAGGGCAATACCTAAAAGTAATCTTCGTCTCTTACAGCTTGCTGCCTATGCTTCTGTTTTTTAACTGATTACATTTGCCTCTGTTATTTGAAAGCACTTTTGTAATTCTTTAATGAAAAGTGTTATACAGATTTGCATTATTTAGGAAATAAATCCTCACATACTGTGATAAGTTGTTGCTGTGTTACGTGTAGTAACATGCCTTAATTACATTTAATGCCTTATAATATTACTCTAGGTAAGCTAATTTAATTTTTAGAATTAAAATTAAGTATTATTTCATATGGTCCAATAGGATTCATAACATAGACTGTATAAATTCGTCTCCACCTTCACTATCAAGCACAACTTCATGGGGTTAAAACAAATTTTCATTGTCTGCCTCTGTGGTCTGTTGTAGAAAGTGGTTCATTAATCAAAAGCAAAGATGAGAGACCTTTTGCATTAACAGTAACAGACTATTTATTGATCCATTAACCTATATTTTTCAAAGAGAAAATGTTCAACTTAAACCTTTTTTCCTCTCTGAACTGTAGCATCAAATTGGGCAACAGAGGCCAAAGGTGTGTGGATCACTTGAAAGGGCTTGATAGTGCTATTTCTTAAGATTTGCTGTGGATCACACACAGCCTGGCTAAATAGCATCATTTGCATACTGATTTCCATCATTTAATTTTTTAAAGTATGTGTTTTAAAAATGTAACAAAATCCTTCATTAGAAGTAAGATTTGGTGGAGTCTGGTTTTCCTGTTTTGTGTAAAATAAAGTATGTACCTTTAGGTATATAATACCACTTCATTTTCTGGGCATTATTTACTAATTTTTAATGTTTCAGCTTTTGACCAGTCATTTTATATTTCAGACTCCAATACTGATAACAAGTGGGATGAGTAAGTACATATGGTAAATGAGGTTTATGTACTTGCAGGAGCAAAGTATCATAAAAACATGGGACAAAGAAGTCAAACATTAAAGCCCTTGCGTATATTAAAGGACCTTAGACAATTAACGAAAATGTTAATATTGGAAGTTGTAGCAAAATCATTTTTTGAGTAACTCTTCAGTTTGAAATTTTAAAATTGTTTTATTGTGCCTTGGCATCTTGAAAATATGTATGATCTTTCTACTTTATGCTCAGTGTTAACTTGGTCAATTTACATTGTATTTATTATGCCTGCTGAAAAATCAAGTTTTAGGGAAAAAAATGGATTATTTTAGGGTGTAATGAAGAATTTGTTTACATCAAATTGATGAAATTACAGAGTCAGTGATTCCTTTTTGCTAGTGGTGCTTTGAAATTGTGGTAAGTCTGATTTCCAAAATAAGTTAGGTATAAGGTAGTGAAGTGTACTGTGTACTTGATTAAAAACCATTTCACTCTTGCAGAATGTCCCCTTCCTTGAAGGAAATAGAACATATCCATATGACACAATCAGGCAGTTTCCTTTTTCTATACATTTGAATTATATGTAATTCTATATATATAGATATATATATCTTATATATATAGAATTTTAGATTCTAATCTTTTAAGAGTCATTTTAAGTGAAAAAAAATTTCCTAAGCATTTAACAGATCCAGAATAATTTTAGCTTTTAAAAAGTGCTAATATACATCAAAATTTGTAGCAAATACAGATTAGTTTGTAAAAATAACAATTATTGTTTGATATTGTGGATTTTGTGTTGAAACCCTTCTTTGAATTTACTTGAATGCTTTACATTAGAAGGTGTATATGTAACATATATGCTAGCAACTACAAATGGTTGCGTTTGCTTCACTTAAAAAAATAGAGTTGTAAGTGAAGAAAAATCTGTTTTTAGGGCAGATTATTTTTTTTTTAAAGTGAGTACAAATGGTTAAGGTTGTTTTGAACTATTGGATGCCATTTAAAGTTTTTGCCATCCTGCTCCTAGAAAATTAGGGGACTTATGTCTTCAAAATACAGATTAAAATGGATTATACAGTCGGCTGGCCACATCAGAAATAGAAAACTGTAATGCTAAATGAACTTTTCCAAAGGAATTATTGTTTAAAACTTTTCTTTTTCTGGACTCTACTTGGCTTGTTCAGTGGCTTGAAGAATTCTTTAAATGAACCACTACTTAGTGATTAGTTCTTTTTAAGCTATCTATTTCTAAAATTACCTATGTGGGAAATATGAAGGATGTTCCAGAAATATGAAGCAAGGATCCAGTCAAAGAATTACAGGGTAAAGGTGGAGTTCTTAAAAGTCTCTTTAAATGGTGCATTATGATGGGTATCATTCTCACTTTGAATTACAACAGCGTTACTCAGGAAATCAGTAATTTTCTTCCAAGTATGTGCATATTGCACTGTTAGATCATAGAAGTATCTGAATGCTTTATTTAATTCTTTTAACGTATGCAAAAACTATAAATCTTTTGTATAATGTATTTTATACAAATGCAAAATAGAATTGTAGAACATTGTTAGCATGTACATCTGTAAAACTGGTTTTTAAAATTTTCTGCCCCTTATTTTTCATATTTTAAGATATGCAAAATGTAATAAAGTTTCTATTTTATTATTCAGTGTAAAATGGAAGCTGTTGAATTTAGTTGAATAAAAGCAAACCTTTTCTCCTCCTCTTTCAAACTATTTAAAATAGAGATACTATGTAAGGTAGATAGAATTGCCATAGGTTTAGCAGTTCAGTTCATATTTCATTATACTGAAGTAAAATCCACTGATTATAGGACATAAATGAAAACAAATTTCAGATGAATGTTCTCTGGATGTGCTTCGATATCAGAGAAGATGACCTTAAAAGGCATGGTCCATGACTTCTTAGCAAGTTGTGGGTCAGACATCTAACAAAATGCTCTATATGTAAATTTTATCATAAAACCAACTTTCCACTTCAAGCATATTTTAAAAAGTTACCAGTAGCAAAAAGAAAAAGTTGGTTTGAAGCTTTTATTTATTTAATGGAGGAATTTGTGATGTAAGCCTTATTTTTCCTTAAAATTGTATTTAAAATTACTTTTTAATAGAAAGTGTTTACTAACTCCAGAGCCTTTAACCATATTAAGACAAAGCCATTGACACTGTACGTTATGGTAGAGATGGAAAGGTTAACAAGGATTTCTTTTGTACCCAGTGTAGGTCTGTGATACCAGTGATCACTGTCTGCCAAATCTGAATGTGTTATCATGACTTCAGTCACCTTGAGTTTTTTGTTGGTGTTTATTCAAGAATATTTGATACTGTCATTCTTTTTCAATAAATATTTTACTAGGTAAAATCTGTATTAGTTTTCTCTATCAAATATGTTTATGTTTAAGTAGGCTCAAAATAAGACATGTTCATATAAAACAAAAGGACACAATTTTGTTTTGTAAGAATTTAATGTGTAAACAGAAAAATAAGCATTATAGCAAAAAGGTTTGCCTATTAATATAGCAATGTTAAAGACACTTCACCAACAAGTACTTTTTTATATATAGGAGGCTGTCTCTGCATTAAAGTTTACCTTCTTATGGAATAACCAACTTCATAGTCCCTGAGAATTTAAGCCAGAAAAGCAAGGTTCATGCTGATAAAGCAACCTGCAAATACTCCATCTGTCCTTTCTCACAGCTGGTCACCTTTAAACTTCTACAAAGATCTTCCAAGTGGGGAAGACAGTACACTTAAGACAGATGGCTAGGGCCTCCTGGGAGCTAATCCTTGCCCAAAAGGGCTGTCTGCTGGACTAAAATTGTGGAGGCAAATTGAAAGCTAGAAAAATACTTCAGTGTATTTGCTCAATTCACAAGGTTATCTGCAGATTTATAAGAAAGTAAATGGAACCATTGAGATCAGATTCCTATAAGTGGTATTTGGCTAAGGTACTAAGGAAGTGAGAGAATGAAACAATGTTTTTTAAATTTTTATTTTTTGAGAGAGTGCATGTGTGCAAGCACGCACAAGCGGGGGAGGAGCAAAGGGAGAGGGAGGGAGAGAATCTCAAGCAGGCTCCATACCCGGTGCAGAGCCCGACGTGGGGCTCCATCTCACGATTGAGATCATGACTTGAACCGAAATCAAGAGTTGACACTTAACTGATTAAGCCACTCAGGTACCCCTAAAATATCAATGTTTTAATTAATAATCTTAACTGACTTTATTTGTCCATTACAACTGGGAACTATGAGTTTCTCTTTTAAATCCAGTAGATTGCTGTTTTAGCATATATTTTTAATTCCTGTTCTCTATTAAGAATGTTTAAAGTTTCCCAGAAGCTTATTTCAACAAATCACATGTGATCAACACAGCACTGAACTAATAATGGTCCTCACACCCATCTTGAATTAACTGAGGAAGTATTAAAATTGAAAATGATCTTTTTCCTGAGAAAGTCATGTTACAAAATGGCACAAGACAATATAAATGTTTTCCAGTCTTCCCCTCCAGAATACACTATGGAAAATCAGGTTATAATATATTTTGTGAGGAAAATATGTTTGATTTTTGAAACTTTTCAATTAGCCAGCTACAATTTTTTGAGAATGAGGGCCAAATTGAAATTGAGTGATCATATTTGTAAGGTATGTATGAATATATATGGCAAAGTTTGGTTGGTGTCTAAGCAGTTTTATAGAAATAGTTTACAAGTGGAGAAACTAAGGCACAGAAAACTTAACCAAGCTCATTTTCAAGGCTGAGTCTAATAGTAAAGGCGGAAATTGGATTTGGCTGTGATTCTCAAGGTTAGTAATAGGTAATATCTTCCCCAAAGGTAATATCTTTTCCCCCAGAGGGAAAAATTAATTTATCTTTTTGGTAGGTAATATTAATCATTTAAAAATACATAATATGAATTCCCTTGAAAAATCTTTGGCATTTGTGTGTCTTTGGAGGCTGAGGGATTTTAGGTATTTTCCCTGCCAAATATAAAAAAGCAGGGGAGTTAGTTTTTAATAAACAAAAAAGATTAATCTTAATTTTAAAATGACCTGAGTTTTATCCTGCACTGTGATATAAATCACTTGGGTAATTAGGAGTCCTGTGAAATTTAACAGCAACCGCTACACCTCAAAAATGTGGCATTTTTCCCAGCGTGTATGTTTTTGATCACAAAATTTCCAATCTCATAAATTATGCAGTTGTGAACTCAGGTTTATGTAGTCACAGCACAGAACATACCATGTAAAAGTAAAAGATAAAATTATTTTCAAGTTTCATTGTTTTTAAAGTGCTCCTTGTGCAGTATTAAGTCAATGCTCAGATTACAGTAACCCACTATGATCATAGACTAGTAATAGTTTTACAGCAGATCAAGTTAAAGAATAATTTGTTCAAGTATGAATACATAGATTAAAAGATGCAAAAACTCTAGGCACATTCAAATCCAAATAATACAAAAAAAAAAAAATCCACTTGAACACATAAGAGGGATGACAGGGGTTTTGAGAAGGAATGTCAGAGCATTAGAGACTAACTGGTAAGGTACCTAGTATGTAAACTCAATGTGATTCTGAATATTTTGACAGCAAATATTTGTCTAACGAAACAGGAACAAAAATACAATACTCATTCCTTATCGGAAATAGAAAACAAGTCTGTCCAAATGTTTAGAAGTTGTATCACAAAGATATTTTTGGAGAAATTCCATAGCTAATAGGTTGCTTCATCCATGTTGTCATCACTGTCTGCACCAAAATCATCTCCATCTTCAAAGTATGAATTAATGTAGTCATTTTCCTAAGTGAAGTGAGAAATTTCTCAGTTAACATTAAAATGAATGGGTGGTAACATCATTATTAAAAAAACATAATGTAGGCTGTCCCTTTAACCTAAATTTATAAATATCAAATCTGGGTAATGAGAAAATATACCAGGCTTTAAAAAAGTCTCTGCTATTTCATCTGCTTAAAAAATACATTACTTTTCATTCTCATCCACCTGTGCTGCTTTCCACAAGACCATCACCTCCTACTATTCTCGGGCACCAACTAGTTAAGAGAAAATGAAGGAATGTCTGTTACTCCTTAATAGAATGATACATCGAATTCATTACACCTTAGTAAGATGATACAGGGTTTAGTTAGCCAAACTACCAAATACTTACTACAAACAAACGTACAGATACTCAAGAAACAAAGTCAATTTACATTAACATTCAACTATACCAGAACTGAGGTTTTCAGTCCTGATGTGTAATTGAGCAGAAGTAGAGAGATTTTTGCTTCCTATCAAAGTACAGGTCTCAATTACTACATGGCAATGAGAAAGAATGAAATCTAGCCGTTTGTAGCAACGTGGATGGAACTCAAGGGTGTTAGGCTAAGAGAAATAAGTCAGGCAGAGAAGGACAGATACCATATGTTTTCACTTATAAGTGGAACAGGAGAAACTTAACAGAGGACCATGGGGGAGGGGAAAGGGAAAAAAGAGATGGGGAGAGGCAAACCATGAGAGACTCTTGAATGCTGAGAACAAACTGAAGGCTGATGGGGGTGGGGGAGAGAGGTATGGAGGTGACGGGCATGGAGGAGGGCACTTGTTGGGATGAGCACTGGGTATTATATGGAAACCAACTTGACAATAAACTATAAAATAAAAAAATAAAAAACAAAAGTACAGGCCTCAAGATACCAAGTAAAATCTAGAAAATGCCATTTTCTATCCAGGGGCCCTCAGTTTCCTTGAGGTTAAGAGGGATTCAACTCCTAGGAACACTTCAATTACTAAGACTGAGTAAGGTTATTATCCATGTAAATGATTCCTGATATTTCTGTGCTATCAAAAATTTAAAAATCCACTTTGGATATGAATTAAAAGAAATTTAAGAGCATTATTAACCAATTGCAATGTGTGGGCTGTATCTGGATTTTGGCTGGAACAAACAAAACTGGGATAATTGAAAATATTTAAACATTGGCTTAATATTTGGTGATACTAAGGAATTATATTTCATTATATTATGTGTACTAATGATGTTGTGATGTTGCTAAAGAGCCCTTATTTTTTAGTTCATACTGAAATATTTATGGATGAAATGGTACAATGCCTAGGATTCGCTTTATAACAATCCAAGGTGGGTGGGGAATGGAAGTGGGGGGGACAGAAGTAAGATTGGGTGAATGAGTGGTTGAAAGATTGGCTATAAACTGATAATTGTTAAAGCTGGGTGATAAGTCCATAAGTGTTTATTTTACTAGTTACTAGATTTTTGTACACCATTGAAATCTGCCATAAAAATAACAATTTCTACATTTCAACTCTCTCTGAGTTATGAGAGTAACAAGACAGAGACTATTCTCTAAAGAAAGCCATCTGGATATCAGATTTTTAAGTATCTGCATGGTGGTATTTTTTACTATATAAGTTTATATAAATAATGAGAGACAACCTGCATTATTCAGATATAGATTTCATTACTTTGTCTTCCCTCAACACTGTAAGTTCCTATATCCAGTAAGTTTCCATGCCATCTCCAGGAAGATGGCCTGGTTTCTCGGTTGCCAAGAAATCTACTGATGTCTGGAAACATGGCTGAAGCCTGGGGCTAGCGTACTGGGGAGGTGGGGCATGGTGGAGAGTTCAAATGAGAACACAATGTAAATGAAATTGGAAGGGATACTCCACTATTCCAAATCAAGCACATGCAACTTATGCTTTTGACATGAGCACCTCCAAGTGCGTTCTGTGATTCACACTAGGTAACTTTGTGATGTTAATCTTGATACAGGTACAAAGTAAGAACTTGTTGAAACTGATGGCTTACATGGTTCTTGGCTTTCATTTGAAAGCTTGCTGTTTTCTTGAATTACAGTATTCAAAAGACCGAAGAGAGAAAAAGTCTGTATTCCTTGAAGTTTACATAGAGCTGTTACATAGATAATTTGCTCCATTTACTATTCAGAAACAATGCTTATCAAATCCTCAATACATCAAGTTAATTAGCGTGAATTTTTCATTAATGGACTGCTAAAAAGAGTAAAGAGTAAATATAGAAAGTCTTTAATCTCCCCTCTTCATTCTTCACCCAGCATCATACTCAAAACAGGTATCATTTTTCTATTAAAGTGGAAATATATTTATATAAACTGTGTTTAGTGCTTTGCTAAGGCCTAACACAGAATCCTGATGTCTGCTATTCTTGTTAGGGAAGATCTTTTAATTTCAACAGAGCTCACCTCAAGCAGACTTTGTAAGCAGAGAATTCCAAAAGCCAGTCTTGAAAACAAACCACTAGATACTCAAAGCTAATAGCACACCCTGACCCCCAAGGCCAGTTGGGACAACCAAAAATGTCTCCAGATATTACCAGATATACCTTGGAGGGCAAAATTGTGACTGGTGGAGAACCACTGGTTCATAGCAACAAACTTTCAAACATGGTCTAACCATGATTCCTTCCAGTCCAAGCAACAGGGTTTTCTAAAATACAAATATAAAACTACTCTACTGCTTAAAACTCCTTCAATGGCTCCCCACAGCACTCAGGGTAAGGTAACTGCTCAGCCTGGTACTTAAAACCCTTTTTTTTTCTCTGCTTCATCTCTCCACACACCCCCACTTACACTCTAGCCTAGCCATACTGACTTACCTGGTCAATTACACTATTATGCTATACCCTCCTCACCTGCAAGACTTCTCCATGCTCTTTTCTCTATCTGTAAGTATCCTCCACTCCATTTTTCATCTTGATGTGATTTAGTCTTCAGGTTGTCTTTTGAAATACTTTCTTTCATATCATTAAAATGGAGTTTGGTGCCCTTACATACTCCTATAACATCTTGAACTATATATTACACCATAGCATTATTCACTATATTGTAATTATCTCTTCTCTTGTGTGTGTCCCCACTGGACCAATATCCTTGATGGGAGAACTGTATCTCACCTTGATATTCCCTTTGCCTAGTACAATTCCAGGCATACACTTAGTATAAAATTACTCTACACTGAATGAAAAAAAAAAATGAGTAATATAACAACTAAAACTTTGGATAAGGATGCATTCAGGGAGACTGTAAAGAGAAAAGGAAATCGAAAGGAAGAACTCTGAAGAATACTGACATTTAAAGATGAGAAAGAACTCAACAGAGACCACAAAAAGGTACCAGACTAGGAGAAAAACAAAAAGTGTTGTGTCACAAAAACCCAAGAAAGCAACAATGTGTGCCTATGTCTTAGCATCCAGCAAAATGCCTGGCATATAGCGGATGCTGTAATTGCCTTAATTTGTTGAATTTAAATAAAGGAAATAATATTTTAATCATGACGTTGTGAGAGTTAAATCTCACAGAAAAGTCAAGTGAAATAAGGACTAAATTTTATCTACTGGTGAACTTGGTGGCAATAATTTTAATAGCATGTAGGTGGAAATCAGATGAAAAAACTAAATGCAGGAGGTTACAGGGGAGTAAGCAAGTTAAGTCAGCTAAATAGCTTTCCAGCTTTCCAGGACACCGCAGCACACATGGAGGGGAATGTGGGGAACATATTTTATGAGAGATGAACGTGTTTTAATTCATGAATGCAAGAGATGAGTAGGAAAAGAGATTGAAAATATGAAAAGGGAAATGAGATGAGGATTATGGTCCCCTCCTCCCCTAAAAGGCAGGACAGTGAGTCCTAAATACGATGAAGCCTATTTCTTCCAGTGGTGGCGGGGGGGGGGGGGGGGGGGGGGGGGGGGGGGTGGCAGCAGAGAGGAGGAAAGACACTTAGTCTGAAGGCAGAGGACATGAAATTAAGGGAGTATCTTCTTGAAGTCTTCATTGTCTGTATGAAGGTGCTATTATCTGCTAAGAGTGAAAGAAAAGGCAGTCAAGGAGAGGGATTAAGAAAAGAGATGATCTAAACTAACTGCTGTAGACAGAGGGCTTGGCAAGAGAAATACAGAAATCATCTTAGCCAGCAAAAAAGGGGCTAGTGTGGTTTTAGTGGCATGTGTTTCTGTGATTCCTCAGGGAAGTTCGACAGGCAGTTTAGATGGGCAAAAAGGAGGCAGTGGAATTGATCAAAGGTTACTGTGATCTCAAGTGGGTGCTGGGTGGACAAGGGAAGAGAGGAATGGCAAGAAAGCAATTAAAGGGTGAGGAAGGGCCTTGGGGAAGGAAATTAAGATAAGGAACCAGAGAAGGGGAGATAGAGAATCAGAAGGCCTGGTGGTCTCAATCATGTCAGAGCATAGGAATAAAAAAGTGAATGATCCGGAAAGAAAGCTAGAGACATGTGATATGTTTAATTTTAAAATGTTTAAGTTTAAAATTTACCTGGAAGAATAAAGAATACTCAGGAAAATTCTTCCAAAAATATTAATAATCAGAAGCTTCTATTAATTGGATCAGCAGAGTGATGGTTCAAAAACAGATCCCAGGAATACATCTAAGTCCAAGTGGGAATCTGAGAGCTGATACAGGGGAATTTCAAACCCGTGAAGAAAGAAAACTGTTTAATAAATGAGGTTAGCGGCTGGCTAGCCATTTAGAAAGAGATAAAAATGGATCCAGACCTCTCCCTTTACACCAGTATAAAATCCAAAAAAACCCAAAATTTAATGTAAACTAATTAAAGCATATAATAAAGATTTCATAGCTGTAGCAGTTTCAGGTAAACAAAAGATTCAATGGCATGTGAGAAGGTGAAATGGAGTGAAAACAAAGTTCACCGTCATGGAGAAGAAACTCTCAGCCTAGGATTACTGCCTGAGGTGTCTACTAAGTCCCAAAGATGCCACATGACCAACAGTTACCCTGCTCAAAAATAAATAATAAAAAATGACTGTCTCTATTTTGAAATGCATCATGTTTCTAAAAGTTAGAAATCCCAAACCAAACTAAGTCCTGCCTCAGTCTGATACTTGAGGGTGGATCATATACATTCTCTGGCAGTGTCCACAGGTACTTTGGGATTTTTTTTTTTAAGCTTTTTTAATGTTTATTTATTTTTGAGAGACAGAGACAGAGTGGAAGTGGGGCAGGGGAAGAGAGAGAGACACAGAATCTGAAGCAGGCTCCAGGCTCTGAGCGGTCAGCACAGGGCCTAATGTGGGGCTCGAACCCATTAACCACGAGATTATGACCTGAGCTGGTCAGACGCTTAACCGACTGAGCCACCCAGGCGCCCCACATTTGGGGATTTAAAACATGATGGTACTGAAGGGATTTCCTCTTCAGACTCTAAATGACTAAGTCCTTAATTACTGTCATTGCTGATTTAAAATTTTTTGTAGATAAATATTAAGATAACCTGATCAATATCCTTAAACTTGTGGACTTCCACTTACAAAGTTGTCTATTGAGTTACTTTTACCTCGTACAGTAAGTTTGGCATCATTATTTCAATGTAATAAAATTCACTTGACATTAAGGAATTGATATCAGTGATAATGATACATCCCTGGTTCCCATCAACTTGGTTTTAGTTTGTTACTACCATCATATAGCGTATATCTGATTCCTTATTAGAAAATCCTTAAACTCAGTAACTTTGTTACCATCCCCCAGTAGACCCTTACCTCTTCTTGCTCTTCTTCATCATACTCCTCTTGTTCCACAGCATCATCGTCCTCATCATCGTCACCTTCTTTACTTTTCTCTTTGCTTCCTTCTTTCTCTTCATTTTCCTCGTCTGATTTTTCACCATCACCTCTCTTTTCCAATTCCTAGTATAAATGAACTTCATTAATTAAAAAAATTTTTTAAAACATTTTTTGAGAGAGAGAGGGAGGGATGGAGGAAGAACACATGAGTGGGGGAGGGGCAGAGGGAGAGGAGGAGAGAGAATCCCAAGTGGGCGCTATGCTGACAGGTTGACAGCAGCAAGACAGATGTGGGGCTCGAACTCATGAACCATGAGATCACGACCTGAGCCAAAGTCAGACACTTAACCAACTGAGCTACCCACGCGCCCCTGAACTTTGTTAATTTAAATGGAAACCACTAGACTTTAACCTCCCTGCTTAGCTCAACAGAATATAGTTACCTATCACCTAATTCTAATCCTCCAGGACACACCTAGGAAACTAAGAGTTCACTCAAGAAAGGAGGAACTCTCTCTTTTGTCATTAAACTAGTTTTCCTTTGGTTTTGTTACTTCATAACTGGGTCTCAGGTATTGCTGAGGAATCAGCTGTAATGCACAATGCTTTATTTTTATGATTTCTATCCTACCTCTTTCTAAAATACTGAGTTGATTCAGTTTATGGAGAGAAACTTTCAGAATTTTCTTGTCCTTCCAACATGAAAGGAGAAAAGAAAATATAATGATAACATTTCAAAATGCCTGTTTAATTTATTTATTTTGAGAGAGAAGAAGCAGAGAGAGGGAGAGAGAATTCCAAGCAGGCTCCGCACCAGAAGCACAGAGCCCAGTGCAGGGCTAGAACTCATGAAATGTGAGATCATGACATAAGCCAAAATCAAGAGTCAAATGATTAACTGACTGATCCACCCAGGCTTCCCTTATTTATTTATTTTTAAAGTAAGCTTTACTCTCAACCTGGGGCTTAAACTCAGGACCCCGAGATAAAGAGTTGCATGCTCTACCAACTGAGCTAGCCAGGTGCCCCTACATTTTAGTTTATAAGAGAGATCATTTAAGGGGTGCCTGGGTGGCTCAGTTGGTTAGGCGTCCAACTTCGGCTCAGGTCATGATCTCACGGTTCGTGGGTTCGAGTCCCACATCAGGCTCTGTGCTGACAGCTCAGAGCTTGGAGTCTGCTTCAGATTCTCTATCTCCCTCTCTCTCTGACCCTCCCCTGCTCTTGCTGTCTCTCTGTCTCTCTCAGAAATAAATTAAAAAATTAAAAAAAGAGAGAGATCATTTAAAACAATTACTATCAAGTCATCTTGGTGTAAATTATCCTGCAGATTATCCATGTCTTTATCTCTGTTCCCTCTCATTGTTTACTTCCTATCTCCAGGAAGTTTTACTTCTCAATACTGGTTGAAGAGAAAGAGGTTAAAACTCAAATTACTGGAAAAACAAACAACAAAAAAAAAACCCCAAAAACCCACCTCAAACCACTGTCAAGATTAGCATTTATGAGCAACTCTGAGAGTGGAGGCAAGAGATGCTGTTAGAAAAGTTTGATTGCTTGATGGCTTCACTTATCCACTCGGTTAAAATCACTATGCTACATAACACATACATAATCTCATAACACACACATTTAACTTTACAATTACATCTTTGTATTTCTATGACTGCCAACAACTTTTCCCTTTGATAAAAAATAGCCTGTTACGGCTGTCACTATCCAATCATGAAATTGCTCTATGCTTAATGTGCATGAGTGACAGAGTTTCATAAGTTTTCTAGGGGGTGGATACAACAATGATTATTAATTAAGGCACAGGATCACTTTACCTAAGATACGATTATTCATAAACAATAATCAGAACATTAATTCATAAATCTGCAAATGCTCCATCCTATTATATTTGCTTTGTCAATTACATATAGAAAGAAAACACATTTTATATTTGGAGTGACTACAACTTAGCTATTGCTTTGCTGGTTCTTAAACATTTATTTTTAAAATCCCTTTAATTATATTCAACTTTGAATTTAAGGAAATCAAAGGCAATAAAAACACTACATTAGATTCAGTTTCTAACCAAAATTCAAATTCCACCTTTCCTACCTCACTTCACTCAGGCAGGTCAAATAAAACAAGGTAACAGACATAAGATGATTTATTGTCACACTGACCCATGTTGCCTTATATGAGTTATTACTACAAAATAATGTAATTTTTCCAATGGACAACCTCTTTGGAAGAGTACAAATAAACAAAATAGTGTTTATAGATCTTTTGAAATGTCTGTAAATACATATACACATACCCCATATAATGATGCTATGTTGACATTAACATATGGAGTATTTTCTATTTTAATCAAATTGCAGTAAAGAGGCCCACAACCCATGAATACTGTATAGTTAAAAGGAAATTGTGCTGCTATATTTCCTTAACTCTGTGAAAGGCATACACTATATCTGAAAAATTCTGTTATTAGCTATTATTTAACAATTAGCAATACACTTATTTAAGCCAATTATGGAAAATATCTTAAAAATATAGAATTCATTCAGTGCTGTATAGGACTAGGCAGTCTTTATTTCCATTACCGCCACCTCAAATCTTTAAAAAAATAACAACTTTATTTCTACCATGTAGGTCTAAATCAAACCCACAAAATACTTAAATCGGTGAACAATAGCAGATAAAATGCAATAACAAAAAATGATCTCAGAGCCACACACATTTTCTCTCTATTCTTTTTGTGTTAAGCTACTAGTTTCGGTTTCTCTGCTTATTAGCCTCCATTTTCTCCTATGTGAGATTTAACTATTTAGCCCCACTACCTTTCATATTTGTTATAAGAATAATGTGATTAACACAACATGAAAACACTGCGAACTGTGAGAGGGAACAGTTCTTCTATTTTAAATAATATGTAGCCACCTTACAGAGAGAACTTCCTATAAATTAAACAGATACAAGCTCAAATATTAGTTTACTGTTGTCTGATTATTCACACATTAATCATGAGATCTGACTACATGTTACTTCTTCTCCATCCACAGAAGACTTATTTTTTTTTAAAGTTTATTTATCTTCAGAGAGAGAAAGCACGAGCATGGGAGAGGCAAAAAGAGAGGGAGAGAGAATCCCAAGCTGGCTCCATGCTGTCAGCACAGAGCCCCATGTGAGACTCAATCCCATGAAATGGGAGATCGTGACCTGTGCCGAAACCAAGAGTCAGACGCTTAACTGACTGTGCCACCCAGGTACCCCCACAGAAGTTCTATTATAATAACATTTGCAACTACTTTTGCTTAAGAAGTGAAACAATAATAGAGTCATCCAGAAGCTAATTTTCTCTTTAACAGAGAGTTAATAAAGCTAACTCATTTAGATCTCTAGCTTTAAAACTCTAATTTTGACACTGTGCAAAATGCAAAAGTTGTCTAAATGTAGAAAACCGGGAAACACAATTTGTTCTGATGAGACTACATTCAGATCGATCTTCTTTATAGCACATGTCATCTTAGCAACTTCCTTCCAGGAAGCTTTGAGAACAGTCAGAATCTGCATTCAATCAATACAAGTTGGCTAGTTCTGCAACCTCATCCATCATTCTACCACAGTTAAACCTGACAGTTACCACTTTTCCTTCAATATCCTCCCAGCTTTATTTTCAGACATATTATCTCCAGCTCAAGTATTAGTCCAAAAATAAAATAACAAAAATGAGTTTCTGTTATCACATAGCTGTGCCAACTTGACCAAACAAGTAAAAGTTTTGTTTCTGTATTTTTATTTTTTTAATGTTTATTTTAATTTTGAGAGAGAGAAAGAGAGAGAGAGAGCCCGTCTGCAAGTGGGAGAGGGGCAGAAGAGAGACAGGGACAGGCTCCATGCTGACAGGAGAGAGCCTGACGTAGGGCTCGAACTCAGGAACTATAAAATCAAGACCTGAGCTGAAATTAGATGCTTAACCAACTAAGCCACCCAGCTGTCCCGACAAGTAAAAGTTTTAAAGCCTTGACTTCCTTATCTGTAAGTAAGGAAAAATAATATCCATCTTTCTTTGTTGCTCTGAACTCTTAAGGACATAATGTATGTAAATAGCTCATCAAAGAATCTGGTTCATATAATAAATTCTCAATAAGTGCTAGTTGCTACCATTATCATCATCATCATTATTATCATCAATGCAAGGTAATACATGCATGGAGAGTGGGAATAAATTGATATAACTTCCACTGAGAATGATCTGTCAATATTTATCCCTTTTTCCTAATATACATAACAATTGACCCAGGAAATCCACTCCAAGAAATTTACATATGTACAATGCCATACTTAATATGAATTCACTACAGCACTGTTTATAATAGCAAAACACTACATGAAACATCAAGTCTTATCAATTGGGTACTGGTTCAACAAATTATGGTTTATTCTTGTGGGGGAGCCAAAAGTGGAGGGAAAAAAAAAAGGATGAGGCAAGTCTATATAGATTGACATAGAACCATCTCCAATTGATTATAAGCGATAAAATGAAAATGCAGAAGAGTGTAATATGCTAACTTTTGTCATTAAAAAGAAAAATAAATCTATATTTGTTATGCATAAAATATTTCTGAAAGATCTGTAAGAAACAGGTAATACTGATTTTCTACAAGGGGGGAACTGGATGGTTAGGGGCAACAATGAAAGGGGAAATTTTCAGTTTATTAAATTTTTGGATATTTTATCTTTTATTTTTGAAATTTTAAAACCAATAAAGAAATAAAAGTAAGTTTCATAAGATGCACTTTTCTGTCAAAGAACTCAACATGAGACAAAAAAAAGCATTAAAAAAGTACATATACAAAATAGGGGGGAATATGAGAAGTTTTCAGAAGAAGTACATTTCAGGGGGTGCTTGGGTGGCTCAGTAGGTTAAGTGTCTAAGTCTTAATATTGGCTCAGGTCATGACCTTGGACTTGTGAGACGAGCCCCGAGTGGATCTCTGCACTGAGCATGAAGCCTGCTTGAGATTCTCCCTCTCTGCCCCTTCCCTTTTTGTGCACTCATTCTTCCTCTCTTTTTTTCTCTCTCTCTCTCAAAATAAATAAACTTAAAATATAATTTTAAAATATTAAAAAAAATAAATACATTTTAGGTTTGTAACTCTTTTGTGTTTCTTTCCCATACATAATTCCAATGCCAGGAGAAAATAAGAATACACAGACATTCAAGGGGGGAATAGGGATACATGGAAAAGGAAGTAGGTGACAGAAGGTAAGGTAAGTTGACAGGTAAGTGGAAATGAAGGACAGAATGGAGCCTCCTTATCTCCCAGCCAGCAATGTTCAAATCTTTCTAGTTACCCTGTGTGCTGGGCTTGGTTGTGCCAAATCCATATACGATTAACAAGTGAGAGAAGGTGTGAAGACTGAAGAAGGCGAGGGAGGCATGACACTTTCACAGCTTGCTCTTACAGTAAGAAGAAAAGCTTACCTCGATTTTTTTCAATACGTCTGCAGTATTAGTGAGTGAAGCACCTTTGCCTGTAGCTTTTGGCTTTTGGGATTTGGGGCCTGCTGAAGTAAAACCATCATTAACACATATTTCTATAACAGCAACCGTGTATTATATTTCATATGCTGTCGAGCACAGTGATACGTCCTATTGGGCAGTTACCTATTTTGCACACTGAATTGATTTTCTTCAAGAATAACAAAATCAATCAGCACACCTCACCAATTTTCCATGATCAGAAGTCAACGATAATCAGTTAAAAGGGTGTTTTCTAAGACTGTACCCAGATATCTTTTTACTAGTACTGAAAATCTATACTGGCAATTCATGTTATTAAGGCCACAATGGCTACTGCAAATGTTACTTCAGGAAGAAGCACCAGAGGACCAGCGAAAGACTCTCTTGAATATATCCTTTGCATTGGTTTCTTGGCCACTGACTGGTGTACTTTATTTTAAGTAGGGCAATTTGACCAGGTTTGGAAAAGTAAAAACCAAGTGCAGAATAAACATGCAGAATAAATAAATAAATAGCCATTTGTCAGTGGTTAAGGAAATAGAAAAAGGTTATATTCACACAACATAAGTATTATCTTTGGCATGAAGATGAAAATGGCTACCCTGAACAAAACCATTGTATGAACCTGAAAACTCAGAGCAGTATAAATGTTTTAATGGCATTGGGGTCATTTTTTAAGCCACATAAAACACATTGCATTTTGAGGCTATAGTAAAATGGCAGGGAATAGAGAATTACTTCACATATAGATCCTTCCAGTCAGTCACCAAGGCATTATGATATGCTGCAAAATTGTCCCACTGTGATTGACAGTATTATGGTCCTTTTCCCAAATCAAGCTAAATACCTACAAATTACTTGTCAACAGAGGAAAATACAGCTCAGAAAGATGTAATTTTGTTAAAGATTAACATTTAACTTATAAAAGAAGAAATTTCTAGATTGTGGTAGCTGACCCACAACTGATGGAATTACAATTTCCTATGTTATATACCAAATTGCCCCTCAGGGAGTCACTGAACTCAGAACCCCAAACATATTTATGTGAAGTTTTGCTCAAAAAAAAGTAACAGATTTAATCATGGGTAACCTTTCTGTTCCCCTTGAGGGTAAAGACTGTTTAATTTGAACTGCAACACATAAAATAAAGTACCATATATGAACTAGATTTCAATATACATTGTGATATTGATAACAGAAAACATTAGCTTAGAATGTAATTTACTCACATCATAAAGACTTTTTCCCTAAGTATCTTTCGTTGAATTATTTAAATTTCATAACACATAACTCTGTTTAATGGGTATTATAGAACATGGTCAGGTAAAAGAACTTATTAAAACTACTGATTTCTTAACCAAGAAAGTCAGTTGCTGAAAGGTAACTAAGCATGTTTTGCTACTGATATATCAAGCTGTTTTTACATAATCACTAATTCTTTTATGTGTGACTAGGGGAGAAGTGTCAAATTTCCAAAATTTGTTAAGACTGCTTTAACCCCAAAACATCAACATGCATTTTTCCCCCATTTTTGGCGAAATACATGCATATATCTGAATTTTTGTTTGTTTGTTTCTTTTAATATCTGCCAATAGTTGGTTAAAAACCAACGAGAAACAAACTTTTTCAGCCTTTGGCCTTTGAGTACTATTCAGTTTCATGTAAATCAGTGGAGGTCATTTTAACCAAAAGCAGAGTATAAGTTTATCAGGAATAAGGCACAAAAATTATAAAATATGCAAAAAAAAAAAAGCTCAGAATGGAAACAAACTTTTATGATTGTTGTTTTGTTTTTTTAACAAATGGAAATTCTGACACACTGGAAGTTTTAACTAATAATCAACGTATACATAAAGTTCTAGGGATGAGCAGTCAGTGAGATGTACTTGAAAATATTATATTTTCCAATTCAGATACATTCTTTTTGGTTCTTTAAAGTCTATTACAAATTTATGACCCACTAGGACATGATTAGTATCATTAATGCACATGTCACTATATTGTAAAAATAATAAATTCACCCAATAAAAGCCAAAGGTATACAAAACAGCAGATAAAACTAATATATCTCAACACACAATATTTTGGATTTTTAATATAATAATTTGTATTTAATCAAGCTAAATATTCTTGTATACTGTAGCTTTGAAATGAAACAAAAAAGATACATATGTCAGAATTTACCAAATTATGTCTGGTGATGACCTTTTAGATACAACACCAAAGCCGTGATCTATGAAAGGATAATGTCAAGAAAACAAGAAGAGAAACCACAGACTGGGAGAAAATATTTGCAAAAGACGTATCTGATAAAGGACTATGTGAAATAATGGAAAAAATACATCTTGATCTCTCTTCCTGGTTCCTGGCACAGAATTCCTAAAACCCTTAGAGTTTCCTAAGTGATAAGAACACTAGGAGTATCTTTGTTTCTATTATTTAGTCTTTGACCCTGGTTCCTGGTGGAGTTTCTAATCCCTTGGAATTTACTGGGTGATAGGAGTGTATCTTTTGTTCTAAGGAGCCAACTCTTGGGGGCTCCTAGATAGCTTCAGGATGGAAGCTGGTCACAAAACAGATCAAACCATGAATAAAAGCCTGGAATTTTAAGCTCCATTCCCATTCCCGTGGAGTGGAAAGGGACTTGAGATTGAGTTAATGATTGATCACACCTATGTGATGAAGCCTCTATAAAAATCCCCAAAGTATGGGGGTTTGAGGAGCTTTCTCATTGGTAAACACATCCCCACGCTGGGAAAGTGGGGCACCCCAGATCCAGAGACAGAGTTCCTGTGCTAGGAATCATTCTAGACTTTACCTGACCTATCTTTTCATCTGACTGTTCATCTGTATCCCCTATCATATCCTTTATTAAATAATAAACCTAATGGTAAATGGTAAACTTAAATGTTTCCTTCAGTTCTGTGAGCTGTTCTAGCAAATGAAATCTAAGTGGGTGTAGTGTCATGGGAACACCTGATCTGTAGCCAAGTCGGCCAGAAGTTATGAGTAATCTGGGGAACCTACTACCTGTAATTGGCTTTTGAAGTGGGGAGTAAGTCTTGTGGAACTAGGCCCTAAATCCAGTTGATGCTGAAACTGAATTAAATTGTAAGACATCCAGCTGGTGTTGCAGAGAACTGCTTGGTGTGAGAAAAAAAATTCCACACGTCTGGTGTCAGAAATGTTGTGAATATAGTAGTGGTATGAGAGTAAAGGAGATACAGCAGGAGAAAGCTTTTCCTATATAGAGTGTTATCTAAGACATACAATGAACTCCTAAAACTTCACAATAGGAACACACAGACACACATCCACACAGAACATTAAAAAATGGGCCACAGACATCTTGCCAAAGAAGATAAACAAATGGCAAGTAAGCATATACAAAGATGCTCCCCATCATATGTCACCAGGGAAATGCAAATTAAAGCAGTAGAAGATACTTACTAACTTACTATACTCCTAACAGAATGGCCAAAATCCAGAACACTACCATCAAATGCTAGCCAAGATGTATAAAATCAGGAACTGCCATTTGTTGCTGGTGAGAATGCAAAATGGTAGAGCAACTGTGGAAGACAGTGTGGTGGTTTCCTACAAAACTAAGTATACTCTTACCATACAATCCAGCAATCATGCTCCTTGGTATTTACTCAAAGGAGATGAAAACTTATGTCCACACAACAGTGGATGTTTATAGCAGCTTTATTCATAACTGCCAAATCTTGGAAGCAATCAAGATGCCCTTTAGTAAGTGAATAGATAAACAAAGTGGCACATCCAGACAATGCAATGGTATTAAGCGCTAACAAAAAATGATCTGTGAAGCCATGAAAAGTCATGGAGGAAACTTAAATGCCTATTACTAAGTAAAAGAAGCCAATCTGAAAAGGCTACGTACTGAATGTTTCCAACTATACGACATTCTGGAAAAAGCAAAGCTATGGAGACAGTAAAAAGATCAGTGGTGGCCAGGGGTAAGGAGGAGGAAGAGATGAATAGGCAGAGTGCAGAGAATTTTTAAGGCAGTGAAAGTACTCTGTATGATACTACAACGGTGGACACGTATCATCATACATTTGCCTATACCCACAGAATGTACAAGACCAAGAGTGAATCCTAATGTAAACTATGGACTCTTTGTAATAATGATATGTCGAGGTAGGATCAGTGATTGTAACAAATGTATCACTCTGGTGGGGGATGTTAATATTGGGGGAGGCCATGCGTGTATGAGGGCAGGAAGGATAAGGGAAACCTGCATTTATCTACTCAATTTTGCTGTGAACCTAAAACTGCTCTAAAAAATGAAGTCTACTTAAAAACCAAAGTGCAAAATACCAGGCCTAAAAAAAAAAAGAGAGGGTTAAGGGGAGAAATCTCTTCCCTTAGTTGCTAACTCCATCGTTATTAACCCGTCTGGCTACTTCCCTTTTTCTCTCTTTATTCTTTTTTTATAAGTTTTTCAAAAGTTTATTTATTTATTTTCAATTTTTTCTAATGTTTATTTATTTACTTTTGAGAGAGAGAGAGAAAGAGAGAGAGCAGAAGCAGGGGAGGGAGAGAGAGAGCGGTCAGTGCAGAGCTAGAACTGAGGCTCAAACTCACGAACTGTGAGATCATGACCTGAGCCAAAGTCAGACACTTAACTGTCTGAGCCACCCAGGTGCCCCTATGTTTATTTATTTTTGAGAGTGAGAGACAGACAGACAGACAGAGTGCCAGAGGGAAAGGAGCAGAGGGAGAGGGAGATGCAGATCTGAAGCAGGCTCCAGGCTTTGAGCTGACACAGGACTCAAACCCATGGACTGTGATATCATGACCTGATTTGTAGTCAGACACTTAACTGACTGAGCCACCCACATGCCCTTTTTTTTTTTTTTTTAATGTTTATTTATTTTGAGAGAGACAGAGACAAAAAATCCCAAGCAGGCTCTGGGCTATCAGCGTAGAGATGCAGGGCTTGAACCCAAGAACCATGAGATCATTACCTGAGTAGAAATTAAGAGCTGGGCATTTAACTGACTGAGCCACCCAGGCACCTACTCTCTTTATATCCAAATTCCCCAAATACTCATCTGTGCTAGCTGTCCCTTTTTTCTAAATTCCCAGTTACTGTTTAATCCATTCCAATCTGAATTCCATTCTTATAAATCTTTTAAAAAGCTCTCCCTGGGGGCAAAAATGATCAATAAGTCAAAAATTAGTTTACATTTTCCAATCTTATTTCACTTGACCTCATGGCAACTTTGTTTAACCCCCTTCAACACTGCTGACCGCCTTTTGAAATGGTCTGTACTTCTTGCACGCTCTTGCTTCTGTGGCTCTATGCTCTTCCAGTCCTCTCTCCCTTCCCACCCTGACTCTTTCCATCTCTTTCTTTGCTGATTCAATCTCCTCTACCAGCCCTTTAAATTTTGGCATTCCTCCAAGCTTAGGCTTAGGCTCTCATTTCTTCTAATTCTGTAATTTCAGCCTAGATAATCTCACCCTTCCTCACAGTTTCAATTATAGTACCTATGTGGATCCGTATCATCTCCATTTTGAAGTCCATCCCCCCATATCCAACAACATGCTCAACATTTCTATTTGTATACTTCAAAGGAATCTTAAAGAACACCTCTAAATGGTAACTCATGATTTTCTCCCACAAACCTGTCCTTCTCTGATGCTCTTCCCCTAATCCCATTTTAGTAAATTTGCTCATCCTGCAGTCCGGGCTCTAATTCCATTTCCTTGAAGAAACTTCCCTGACCTCCCAATGAGGACAGTGTGCTTTTGCTTAACGTTTTTACTCCATTTGACTGTAAGCCCCTTTAGGGCAAGGATTATTCCCACTTTGCTCACTATTTCCTTCCTTTTAGCACAGTGTCTGGCAATAGTAGATTCTCAAAAGCTATTTACTCAGTGGAATTATGAAAGAACACCATAGTGGAAGCTTTTACTTTGGTATTTTGTGTACCACATAAAGTTCTAATCTACCAGTTACCAAATTTTACCAGTTCCAAATGTTTGAGTTAAAAACTTAAGATATAGATGGTATAACCATTAAAAACGTTTCAAATATGCAAAATTTCAAATTTTCAAAAACAAAATATCTACGATACTTGAAAAGTCTTCCCTACATCAAAATCCCATAATTAAAGAAAGGAAAAACTTAAACACAATATCAAAACAAAACAAAAAACCAACAACAAAATGTCATTTTTTAAGAAAAAGCATTCAGAACGCTGAGTGTCACTTTAGGTTGAGAATTCATTCTATAATTAGAATTTGAGCAATAACCTTTTTTTACCTGGATGATTACATTAGTCAATGTACCTTTTTTGCACTTTTTCCTTGGCATCATTTCTCTTGGGAGTCTTCTCCAATCTGCAGGTACAAAAGAAAAAAATACAAAAGTTGCCGTTTCCTCTAGGAGTTAGTGGCACTGGACATGACTATTTAAAGGGACATGACAGTTGAAAATAAAATTTCTTAATATCTGACTGTACAGATTTAGCCTAAATGGTGTATTTTCTCCTATGAAGAAAAAAAAAGTTCATTAAAAAAACTTCAGGGATGCCTGCTGCTCTTTTGGAAGACCATGTGATTCTTGATTTCAGGGTCATGAGCTCAAGCTCCACTAGGAGTGTAGAAAGTATTAAAAAAAAAAATTAAAACAATTTTTGAAATAGTGCTATAAAATTTCTACAATATTCTTTCAATAATTATATAGTATTTATCAATTTTAAATACAGAAATTTTCATAACAAGAAGAATAATTTAGAAAAATATTTATGAATATGAACAGTTACTCATGACATACTGTTGAGTAAGAAAAAGTTTCTCAAATACCATGTACAGGGTGCCTGTGTGGCTTGGTCGATTAGGCCTCTGACTCTTGATTTTGGCTCAGGTCATGATCTCCGGGTTCATGAGACTGAGCCCCACATCAGACTCTAGCTTACAGCATGGAGACTGTCTCGGATTCTTTCCATCCCTCTCTCACCCTCTGTGTCAAAATTAATAAATAAACACTTAAAATAAATAAAACATTATGTATAGACTCCCATTAAAAAATAAACCTAACATATATAAGCATTTTTATATCTTTAATTTTGGGGCAGAGAAAGCTCTAGGTTGGGAACAAAATATTACAATAATTCTTTGTGGGTGTTAGGATTACAATTGCTTTTCTTATTTCTTATTTATTTCTTATTTGACCATGCTGTATTTTATAAGTTTTCTATAGTTGATATGTATTTCTTATGTAATAAGGAATTTTTTTAAAAGTTAAAATATGTGACCACAATCCCAACACATGCAAAATTAAACAATTCTAATAATTAACCCTAGACTTTATAATTAAAAATATAAATAGTCATGGAAAGGTAAATTCACTCTAATAAATAATTTGCCTGCATTAGGTAAATATTTTCTCTAATTTGTCACTTTCTTTTAATTAAAAAAATTTTTTTACATTATTTATTATTGAGAGACAGAGAGACAACGCATGAACGGGGGAGGGGCACAGAGAGAAGGAGACAGAATCCGAAGCAGGATCCAGGCTCTGAGCTGTCAGCACAGAGCCTGAAGCGGAGCTCAAACCCATGAACTCTGATATCATGACCTGAGCTGAAGTCAGACGCTTAACCGACTGAGCTACCTAGGTGCCCCTTTTAATTTTTTAATGTTTATTTGCTTTTGAGAGAGAGAGCAAGAGAGAGCACGGGTACTTGTGAGCACAAGCAGGGTAGGAGCAGAGAAAGATAGAGAAAGAGGATACAAAGTTGGAGCTCTGCACTGACAGCGGAGAGCTTGATGCAGGGCTCGAACTCATGAACCGCAAGATCATGACCTGAGCTGAAGTCAGGTGCTTAACCGACAGAGCCACATAGGTGGGTGCCCCACTGTCTTTTAATTTTCAAACACAGAGTTAATCAGAAAAATGAAGCAACATAAAAAATACTGCCTGCTAAAACAAACAAACAAACAAACAACCTCGGGGTATTTTGGAGAAATTTATATCTCAAGACATTTTACCTGAATTAATAAATTTTGCTTTGAATATATTTCTTATTTTATAAATGACTCATAGATGATCATGAAAAAGTAGGTAAAGAGACTCATTTAAGAGATGAATATAACGTGAAAGATATGAGAGATCTGAGATAGGAGACAGGAGAGTATGCGAGGGGAATCCAACCTTACAATGATGCACACTGAAAAGACCACTATAACTTGTGCAAGCAATAATTCTGTAAACGCCATTTATCCTGCTACCTAAAGGCTGTTACCACAACATCAAGGACAGAGATGTCAAAGGGAAATGAGTTAAAATGAGGAGACCCCAGTTCTAGTAGTGCTGTCAAAGTCACCCCGATAAGTCACTTCATTTTTATGGCAATTACTTTTTTGTCTGTAAAATGAATGAGCTGGATGAAATCTCTCCAGCCTCTTCCACTTTGCCTGTATCCAAGGAAAATTTGTGAATGTTGAAAAAAACTCTCTTAGATAGGGTTCTGTTGAAAAGGCTTCTTTAGGAAGTAAAAATAGTCAATGTCTGCTTGAAAGAAATAGCTTAAAATACCCTTTACCTGGACTTGTTTTCTCCTCAACAGCTATAAAATCACTCACAAACACAGAAGTATAATTGGTACTGGGGATTAAAATGGTGATTGTGGAAAATGTAATGGAAAGCCCAAATGCATCTCGCAAGTCCTATTTTATAAAAAAGTATTTTAAGAACTTCAAAAACATTTCAATTCTTCCTTGTTACAGTATAAAAATCTTTTCATCCTATTTTTCAAAAGATATACATTCGTAATTAATTATAGAAAAAGAGCCAGACTATTTTCGTACAGTGAAAATACCTATGGTAAAACTAGAAAATTTGCCCTAAAAAATACAGGGTAGGGAGATAAACTTTAAAAGTTATTTAAACATTTTCAGATTTAGAATTACCTGGTATCCACTCCTCTTTGTATACCTTCATGTATCTTTTACTGTATCTTTCAATATCTAGGAAAAAAGAAAAAAGTGTTCATTAGAAAATTCCAGAATAAGCCTAAATTTAAGCCATTCCTTTCAAATAACTGAAAACACCAGGTAACATCTTTTATTTCACACACAGTTTCCTATATTTGTACCAAATGTGTTCCTGAACAGCTGCTGAAAAGCTGAAGAAGTATCACCTGTTTAAGGAAGAGGCAAGCAGCAGCTGGGGATGAATGGCTGGGGGCGAGCAGAGAGCTAAACCCTAACCATGTTTTTTAGAATCAGACAACCCGACTCAGTTCTGAAAATATTCACAAAAGCCCAAAGCCAGGTCAGAAAGCCTCTTACACGCGAGGGAAGAAAGTCACTTGGTGTCTTCTCTTTTCTTCTTGTGACACTGGCCTCCAGCTCCCAGTCTTTAAATTTTGTGTAACTGGGATGTATTAAGTGGAGATGGAGGGCTATTTGCTCACCTCTAGTGCTTGATACATACATTCATATACAGTTAGGCTTTTCAGTGAGCGACTTTTCACAACCCATTGGGGAGGAGAATGGGGAAAAGTATAGGAGTAGGTAAGGTTGGACGTGAGCAAGCCACAAGCCTTCCATGTCAACTGCTGACAACTTTCCAGGGACCTCCTGGGCTCAAAAAGGGAGATCCACAGCTGTGGCTCTTGTTTCTGCTTTGCCCACTATGCTGCAAGAAACTCCCTCAATGAGGGCCCAAACCCTTTCCTAGCAGCATAAGTTGGCAAGTGACACCATCATGCCATAGCCTGAAACATGGTTCATCATAAAATGTGGTTTTAGGACTGCAGCCATGAAAGAGGGAGGTTAATACAAAAGGTGAAAACACAAAAAGCAAGGCCCAAATATGTACTGACTTTTCTTCCATGTTAAGAAGATGATTCCAAATAATAGCAAGACCATAAATAGTAGATCAGAGAGACCAAGAGACCAAGCTTTTCTAGGTATTTAATTGTTCTGACTTCAAGCTTGCTCTCAAGCTTTTCATCTGTAAAGAGAAGTCAGCACAAGTTCCTAGCATTCCCATTTAAAAATTTTCTCCATAACAGACTGCATCCTTTAGAGAAAGTTAACTTTTAATAGTAAACTTCTAGAAGAATAAGTGATAATTGAAAACCAACTACTGAAAAAGTTAGAAAGAAGCAAAGGATTTGAACTGACATTTCTCCAAAGAAGATACGCATGGAAAAAAAGCACATGGTAAGATGTTTAAGATCATGGGTCATTTTGGAAATTCAAATCAAAACTGCAATGAGATAGCACTTTATACCCACTAGAATGGCTACAACCAAAAAGGCAGAGACAAGTGCTGGCAAAAATGTGGAGAAACTGGAATCCTCATATACTGTTGGTGATGTAAAATGGTGCAAGAACTTTGGAAAATAGTTTGGCAATTCCTCAAAATGTTACATTCAGAATTATATGGTCCTAGATATGCACCCAACACAAATAACACATGTCCACTCAGAAACATGTATATGAATGCTCAAAGCAGAATTACTCATGATACCTCTAAAGTGGAATTGACCCACATGTCTATCAACTGGTGACGGTGTAAACAAAATGTGGTGTATACAACCAACGGAGTGTTACTCAGCCATAAAAAGGAATGAAGATTGCTGTACCGTGGTGAACCAGGAAAACATTACGCTAAGTTAAAGAAGGCAGCACAAAAGTCTGCCTTTATGATTTTATGATTCCATTTCTTTTTTTTATTCCATTTCTTTTAAAGATGTTATCTTTAAGTAATCTCTACACCCAATGTGCAGCTTAAATTTATAGCCCCAAGATCAAGAGTTACATGCTCCACCAACCGAGCCAACCAAGGGTCTTTATGATTCCATTTATATGAAATGTCCAGAACAGACAAAACACTACAAAGCAGATTAGTAGTTGCCGTAAGCTAGAGACAGGGGAGAATAGGAGCTTATACCAATGGGTATAGGGTGTCTTTTCCGAATGACAAAAATATTCTAAAAATTAGACAGTAGTGTCGATTGTACAATTCTGTAACTACACTAAAAGCCAGTGAGTTGCATACTTCAAAAAGTATACTTTTATATATGTGAATTTTACCTCAATAAAACTGTTATTTAAAAAGAAAGAAAGTTATTAGAAATTTTAAAAAGAACTTAAATACAGTAAACTCAAATTTATGTTCCATTATTTCCCTTGTTTTGAAGGAATTTGTTTTTCATAAAGACTGTGTGAGCAGGGAAGAAGGGCAGAGAAAGAGAATCTTTTTTCTTTTTAAGCTTATTTATTTTGAGAGAGAGAGTGAGCGAGCAGGGGAGTGGCAGAGAGAGAGGGAGAGAGAAAATCCCAAGCAGGAACCGCACTGTCAGCACAGAGCCTGATGTGGGGGTCAATCTCGTGAACGGTGAGGTCATGACCTGAGCTGAAATCAAGGATTGGTTGCTTAACCAACTGAGCCAAGAGAGAATTTTAAGCAGACTGCATACTCAGCATAGATCCTGATGCAGGGCTCAATCCTATGACCCTGGGGTCATGACCTCAGCTAAAATCAAGAGTCAGTAGCTCAATTGACTGAGTCACTCAGGTGTCTCAGCAAGTGTTTTGAATGCAGTTAACTGTGTATCAACTGTGCATTCTAGGAATGCAGGTATACATTTCATGTACAACCTCTGAACATGTGCATTTCATATATCCTGATTCCAGATTTTAAACACATTTTATTAATAAGCTCTAACTTCTTACTTCTGGTTTTTCTCACATTTGCACCATCCAAATGATTCTAGATTAGAAATACATTCCTAATAGGTTCCAGCTTATCATTCCTTCCAACTCTTATGCTTTCATCATCAAAATATAGTACTTTAAAAAGCTTTGATGGCTCACATTTATGTTGAAGTGAGAATGGCCAGCCATCTTCTTTGGTCTATAACTGTAACACATTTTCATTATTAAATTTATAATTACCAATTAACATGATCAACAAAATGTTTCATTCCTTCACAACCTATTTCCTCTCAATCACTTTATCTTTGCCTTCAACATGTGTCAAGTCACAAACTATACCAAATAACTTGTGGTACATAAATACAAAAAAAGAAAAATATTGTCACATCATTTTAACAGACAGGATGTTCCAGGTTTTTGTCACAAAATAGTATGTAACAAGGTGCTTTTCAAGGAGAATACCATATTTCCTTTTTTATTCTTAGAGATCTATTGTTTACCCACTGACCCCTGTCAATTTTCTTCAGAAATCAACAATTCTCAATTGCATTCTGTGAAAACTAAAACAAAAACAAAACAACCACAAAGACAAGAGTCTCTCTAGACTTCTTTTTATATCTTCATAAACATTACTATAATACTTTGGACAACACAATAGAAACACAGAAGGATAATGGGAACATGCTGACTTATTTCACTGCTGCACCATCCTTCTGTGCAACTTCATCATTCTCCCATTTTTTTTTGAGGTTTTAGTCTCTTTTTTCCAGCGTAGTAGGGGAGAACTGATGAGTTATGATGAAATAGTATCTGTGCTGATGAACCAGCAAAGTGTTTAAAGATGAAGGAAAAGTGAAATCACAAAGATTCCAAAATGTATTTAAATTTATAAAAGGGTCTAATAAGCTGATATGGTAATGCTCAGATAAAATGAGTTAAAAAAAAAAACAACAACCACCACAAATCCTCTTTGTTTTTTAGAAGATCTCTATTAAAGAATAAAAGTCAGAGGGTGTCTGGGTGGATCAGTTGGTTAAGTGACCAACTCTTGATTTCGGCTCAGGTCATGATCTCATAGTTTGTGGGTTTGAGCGCTGCACTGGGCTCCATGCAGAGCATGGAGCCTGCTTGGTATTCTCGCTCTCTCTCTCTCTGCCCCTCCGCCACTCATGCTCTCTTGCTCACTCTCTCTCAAAATAATCAAACTGAAAAAAATTAAAGTTATGAATACCACTGCTCAAAAATAAACTCAAGCAATGCCTGAGTGGCCTAGTTGGTCAAGCACCTGACTCTGGATTTTGGTTCAGGTCATGATCTTGCAGTTCACGGGTTCAAGCCCCACATCAGGCTCTGCACTAGCAGTGTAGAGCCCGCTTGGGATTCTCCCTCTGCCTCTGCCCTGTTCATGCTCTTTCTCTTTCTCAAAGTAAATAAGTTTTACTTTAAATAAAATCAACAATCAAAATAGGGTCTCATGGACCATGATGGCACATTGGCAGTTAATAATAACCAAACTCCATTTATTCAACAGCAGATCTTATGGCCATATTGCAGGTAAATGTATGATTTCCATTAAAATTTTGAAGTTCTAAAAAATGACTTACAGAAGAATCACCACTGTCACTCCTGTTTCTATCTCAGAGGACCCCAGTTATGCAAGAATCCGAGCTGGGAGCCATTGGATCAGATGCTCTCTATACACCCTTGCAGCCACAATTCATTAAAATAATAATATTCACTGATGTTTGTCTTTTATTACAAAAATAATAACTTTCATTGTAAAGAAAATACCAATCATTTCTATATTCTGCCTGAAAGCATAATAAACAAACTGTGAGGACTTCACAACAAGAAATATCTTTATTCTATGTCCTCAGTTCTTTGTGATCTCAATGCCCTGTGCCATTAGCCACAAGGTTGATTATCAGGAAACCTTGAGATCTCCTACCCTCATTTAGTTCTTTATATTAAATCCTAAGTCTCTCTTTCTTAAAACATATAGGTGGTCAATGACGGAAGAAGGCTGGTAAAGGTACAGTGATAGAGAACACTGTCCAGAATATACCTCCTCTGACAGGTGTATATGGCTGATCAGACTGGTCAATTCTTTCTCATTTATGGTATGCAGAGTACATAAACATTACATATGTGTATATGCATATATGTGTGTATGTATTATATTAGTCTATATTCACATATATGTATGTATATATATTAAAAACATTTTCAACCATAGTTTTTAAAAACACATTGCATCAGAAAAGAAAGGTAAACATGAAGACTTTGAAGGAGAATGTACTTGTATCAATTTGGAAAATTCTATACGAGTGTTTTTTTCCAGAAAGAAACAGAAACAAAGATTCCTTGTATTCTTAAATACCTTCTGCAGTCATCAAAGATGCAGAGCCTCTTAATCCAGGTACAAGCCAACCACTCCCAGAAACCAGCAATGAAAATATGCTCTCAATGTCCCTGTTTAAAAGACTCCCATACATGTTTTAGACCTATGCTTTAATAATGACCACATTTAGCTAAGTCTGTTCCATACTCTAGAGAAAACACTAATTTTAAAAAGAGTAAAGATACTCTACACTATTATTTTTTCTAATAAGAAAGTTTATTAGCTCATTTAATCTTTTTAAAGATCTTTAAAATGAAAGCTTTCAGTTCATTTTTGAACTCAAATAGATAAAAGCATGTAACATAATTATGAAAGTAAAAAAAAATTCAGTACTTTTAGGATAAAAATGTCTTTTTAAACCATTATATAAACTTCAAGCAGCTATGCTTGAAAAATTAAATGAACTTGTCTAAAATGCTTTTTATAATTATAAGCACATGTGATACTACTATATAAGACTTTCTTTTTGACTCTTAGCCAGCTCTAAGTCTTTTAGAGAGAGAAAATGGAATGCATTTTTAATACTAATGGAATGAGATGATACTATATAAATTTCTCATACTTTAATGATGTTGTTTTGGGAACTCAAGGATGATATTGATCTCTCTAATTTCAACATTCAAGGGCAGAAACTGAAAATCAATACAGATCTACTGTGCTAAATAACTACTCAGGAATGGGTTCTCTTCCTCTGAAACCACTTCCCTCTCCCTGTCTGAGACTTTCAAGCCTTCTCCAATGGTAATTTCTCCTCTCTGTCCTTGGCATAACCGAGGAGTACACACTTTATGTTTTCTATTATATCTTATGTACAAGTCATAAGCCAAAAATACATTGAAGGCTTCTAAAAGTTTTAACCAAAATACTAAATAATCATATTTAATTTTAAATATATTGAAAATTTAATATTAAATACAAAAGATTTATGTATGAGGATAGTAATCATTTCATTATATACATATATAAGCAAAAACTAGAAACCACTTTTAATCTATCAGCAGAGAAATACTTACAGTTAATAATGTTATATACATATCATGGAATATCACATAGTGATTAAATATCTTATTTTCCAAGAATACGGAGGATATATGAAAATGCTAATAGCATGCTGTCGGGTAGAAAAGGAAGACACAAAGAATAGGAATCCAATTTTATGAAAAGCATACACCTACAAAAGAAAAACTCTAGAATGTATAATAAAATATTAATAGATCTCTAGCCATAAACATTAGAGGTGATTTTTACTTTTTAATTTTCTGCTGTTTGTAATTTTCACCAAACACATAAAATTTCCATTAAAAGGTAATTTTAAAAATAAAATGTCAAAAGGTTTAAAGTACTTTTTCCATTAAATCAATATAAGTACACTCTTTTAAGATAGTTAATAATTTCTTTTTTTTTTTTTATTTCTAGGAGAGAGAGAGAGAGACAGCATGAGCAGGGGAGGGTCAGAGAGAGAGGGAGTCACAGACTGAAACAGGCTCCAGGCTCGGAGCTGGCAGTCAGCACAGAGCCCGACACGGGGCTCGAACCCACGAACCGCGAGATCATGACCTAAGCGAAAGTCGGACGCTTAACCGACTAAGCCACCCAGGCGCCCCGATAGTTAATAATTTCTGATTTACTTAAATCAATCAGCACTAAATGACCCTATGTCTTCTACAGAAACATTGTCTTGGGGCACCTGCATGGCTCAATCAGTGAAGCATCCAAATTCAGTGTGGGTCATGATCTCACGGTTTGTGAGCTCGAGCCCCACATCGGACTCTGGACTGATAGTGCAGAGCCTGCTTGGGATTTTCTCTCTCTCTCTCTCTCTCTGTCTTTCTCTCTCTCTTTCTCTCTCTCTCTGCCCCTCCAGTACTCTCTCTCTCTCTCTCTCTCTCTCTTTCTCTCTCTCTCTGCCCCTCCAGTACTCTCTCTCT